CACTCATGAGAAAACTATAGTTCCTTAAATCTATATTATATCCATTTCATTTCCTGGAAGAGGAAATCATCAGTATTGTTACTGTGTCTGGATAAAAGACTGCCATTGTGGCCCAAACCTGAGCAACTTTTTAAGATGTGGGGATTTCAGCTTCCAGAATTTGTCAGCCAGCATGGGTGGCTGAGGAATTCTGGAAGTTAAAGTACACATGTCTTAAAAGTTGCTAAGGCTAAGAAGTAATAAAATATTTTATTAAGGACTCATGGTACATTAGACAGACTACTCTCTAACTATAAGTATGGTCTTTTTAATACTTGATAGTCCCCAACTTTCTGCAGGAGTTCCTTTAGGTCACACTCCCTATTTAATTCTGAAGTTCTTTCAGAATTGCAGGCTCATTATTAATGAAAATCATAATAGGCTCATGAAAAAGTAAGGCCGCAATTCTCAAACTGCACATAGCTCTAATTTTCCCAAGAAGCTCTGCAGAATTAATGGTTGCCTTATTCATTTCAATATCAGATACCCCTACCCCCAACAAAAACTTTCTCTAAATTGCAGCACTTCAGAAATGCTAGTATAAGCAGCACACCAGCACATCTATTCTGAAGTATCCAAATATGCCTGAATTTCCATGTGCACCAGAGTCAATGGATAATGGCACTCATTAAGCATTTTTATCAGTCTTTCTCCCTCCCCACTTACAAATGAACTGGTTACATTGATACTAATTTAATCATATAATGCCAGTCTTATTATTTGTATATTTTGAAATTGTCCTCTGAAATCCAAATCTTATGCAAAAGGGTGTTTAAATTGTTCTGCTAGAAAACTGCATTTACTGTACTTAGTTTAAAAAAATCACTGAACAAATACTTTTTCTATTGACATCTCATTTACAGCTTATTTAAATATTTACATGATTTTAGGACACTAACCTAAACCATAAATAGAATCAACTTTTTGCCTTATGTTAAAGTACAAATTAGAAGTTAAAAATGTTAAGAAATCTGATAATATTTACAGTTTTGTTTTTTTGTTTGTTTTTAATTACGATAGCTCACATTGTATGACCTATGTACAGATAGCAAAATGTTATGATCGCTATTTTTAAACTATTGCACCTGGACCCTCTTGTTCTTTTCTCCCCAGAGAAATATGTCATAGTTTTGCTTTTCCTATCTAGGTATTAGGACTTTAAAAAAAGTTAGTAGAGATGCTTTCATTGAAAAAAAATTAAAATAAATATAACAATGTGAGAGTTAGCTTCTGTTAGATGGTAAAAGATACAGTACTATCACTGTGAAATGCTTTGTAAGATTATATGCATTGATCTGCTGATATAGAAATGCCCAGTTACCCTGTATAGTAAGATTTTAAATACATTAATAATTTATGTTCTCAAAAAATATTCACATATTGGTTGACTATAGAAACACAACTGTTATTAGCTTATTCCTTTTGAAATACCAATGCAAGATTCTAGTTCAAACCCAGGCTATTATGAGCAGTGCAGGGACTGCAGGTCTGCAATGCTAATTAAAAAGGAAATTGGACTGGATATGATGACAATGTCTCTAGATCAGCCCTGATCTTACTCTCAGGAAGATAAAATAGAGACAATTTTTCTTAACAACTCAATCCATATGCCTTTCCTCTTCCTTGCATCTGCTGGTGGCATCTCAAATTACCTCTCATCATTCAAGAACGATAACCATCCTATTAAGAATGGGCAGGGGGACCTGGATGAAACCTGTGATTGTTGCTTCCTTGAACCATATACTGCTTCTTTTAACAACCCTCCATAGCACCAAACAGATGTAAAAGATGTAAATGTGGTCCTGCAATTTTATTGTGGCTGCAAACACTTGCAGGAAATTGGAATTTTGAACTGTCCCATCAACATAAAAGAGACACCAAGGTCAGAAGCTGTAAATATGGGGACACCTTCTCCCACACCTTACTCAGCAACCTGCCCACTTGGTTTACTTATCAATGGGCACATATTCATTTCTATGCACAAACTGGTTCCACTAGTTTAGGAGACCCTGTAAAAATGCATATGTATTTGTGTGCATGTCTATGTATGTGTAGGTACACACACATAAGATATAAACACATACGTGTACACATTTAAGAATATATGTAAACATGGAAATATGTCTTTATCTGGATTATATATGTTGATAATGGTCTGAGTTTGGCTTACTTAAATTAATTTCACTAAATGGGAAATTCAAATCTAAGCTTAATTTTTTTTAAAGAAAATGTATATTTTACCTAGCAGGCTAGTTTTCCTAGATATATTTAGCTGGCTAGCCATATGTACTTGCTCTCATGTTATCTATGCATTGTGCTTTGTTTGGCTGATTTTATATATCAGAAGGTAAAAATTCTCCGGTGTGTCTTTCAATGCTATTATTCAAACTTTGCTACAAGTGTTCAGAATGACATTAATTGATTCTTTCTTCCCAGTCATTTAAACTACCATGTCTGTAGAAACATAGCTTTCCTTAGACAAACATATATATGGCACATGGGTTTTAGTTGGAAAATGCATATTAAACTTAGTAGCAGTCATATACAGAACATATTTACAGAGCATTAATCTGAAAGATATGGTTAAAACTGTGCCATATTAGATAGTTGTAATTTTGTGATGAATTTAATATATGAAAAAACACCTTAATTGCTGGCTAGTATGCATCCAAAACTTGAAAAAAAGTAATAATTAAAGGAATAAATTATTAGGCAAAACATGGCTCTAAACAAAACAAAACCAGTGTATATTTCAGTTAAATTCAATGGTTGTAGCTTATTTCAATGTCCTTTGTGAAGTAAACTGTGTAATGTTTTTGTCTCTACCACATGCTGGTATTAGAGGAGTTAAACCTTTTTTGTGTTATCTTCCATTTGCTCACCTTACTTTAAACCTCATTTTAATTTAAGTTCCTCGTATCTCTTTGAATTAATTTATTCAGAAATGTGATTTCTCATTTACTCCTGGAAGCATCTTCCACTTAATAACATAAATGACCTCATGGAGGTGAATATGTACTTTCTTTGTTAGCCCCCAGAGTAAAATTCACCCTCTCCTTGGAAAGGTTAGAAAATATTATGGCTTGTACTATAAACTTCCAGCTATGGTAAAGTGCAGTTTTAGAAGCTGATTCTGTAGTTTTTCTAAGGCTGGCTTGTTGAACCAATCTGAGAAGACAAAAAGGATAGAAAGGATTTTTTTTTCCTAATGTCTAAAAATCCCAAGGTTGATAATTTTCACATTTCTGTTTTTATAAAATTAATGGGCAATTTCAGCAAAAGAAAAAAAAGATAGCATACACATGAATGTAGCAAAACCCATCTTACTTGTCCCAAAAGACAAGGGGTTGTCTTGGAAGGGGTTTTCTAAAACACTGCCCATCTGATGGAAGAAAACATGACAAAAGAAAGTGTGCTCAGTGCTGTTGTGCCTGAGTCACAAGACCAGCCTTTTCACAAAGCGTGAAGTTCATAATTCAACCAAGTATGCTTGCAGAGAGCCTAGAAAGCTTAATTTTAAAGTATATTACAGAGAAATAAAAGAGTCCTTTGTGCTACTGAAACCATCAGCTGGAAGAAATATATATATACATACATACATACAAACAAAAATGTAATAAAAAGAATATGGAACATTTCTGGTTCCAAAGGATACTCATCCCCAACTATTATAATCCATTTATTTCCTGAAACAATATTTCTTCTGTTCCAAGAGGACACAGCTACCTTATATGAATCCCAGGTCAATTCCATTGAATCAATTGAAGGATATACCTGAATAATTGAGAGCCACATAACTGTAAAATAATTATATGAGAAAAAAAAGTGGAGATGTATTTTTTGAACTGATGAAGAAAATAATTCAGTCCCTTCAGCTGAAAAATACATGAGTAGCTCTCTGCCATTCATTGTCCTCCCTTAAAAAAAGTTCTAAAACTGAATGCAAACTTATTGAATAAAGAAGATAATCCAGTTCCTTACAATAAGCTTACTCTTTTGAGGTTTCTGTGTGCATATTTAAACAAATATCTGAACTATAGAAAGTTATGATTTACTCAAATCTCTTTTAAATAGGAAGGAAATACAACCCAAACTATAATTTAAGAATTATTTTGATGATCAAGATTTGTAATTTGCATGATACTTGTAGTTTACTTGATCCTTGTGTTTGACAACATTTGGCACAGCTTTCTCTGTTGCACAAGAAAGTACAAAGCATGGAGAGAAAACTACCTATGAAGAAACTGCCGGCAAACTCTCATTTGGCACTTATAAATAGTAGGCTCCTAGATATATTTAATGGTATACTGTTGGACATATTGGCCATCTCCAAAATACTGTAGCTCTATGGTTCACATCATGGTAATCAATATGCTACTTTACAATATCTCAATTAAACACTTCCCAATTATGTGTAAGTTGCTTTCATATTTCCAAAAAGAACTCTTAATCCAATTAACAACTTAATACATGTCTTCATAGTATGATGGCAGGCATTATGACTTACTGTAGTTTCAAATTAACATTAAAAAGGTAAAATATGAATATGATGTTAATTTTGATATAATAGGACCATATTCTTTCCATTCAAATAATGCTGTTTAACCCAGATGAGCAGAGAAGCAGAAATTGCTCTGAGAATTCAACACTTTTTAGCTTCCCTTTTCAACATCGTCCAAAAATGAAATGACCAAGTTTCAGGTCTGTTTCCAAACATCAAATGCAATTATATATCTTTAAAAGCCAGATTGTATACATTTGTACTGTAACTTGATAGGCTTCACAGTTGTGCAAAAGAAATCCAAACATTACTGAACAGGTTATAGATTGGGCCAGCAAATAAGGTGTTTTAAAATAACTTGTCCTGAATAGATTTTGTTCCCCCTAAGTCCCACATTTGGCTGTACAATCAATTTTGAAGAGAAATCCAGTTCTTGATATTTGTGTGGCTTTCTTTGTTTTTAGTTCACATAGTAAAGCCAATAGACAATATTGAAGAAAGAAAAAACCACCGGGAACAATATGCGTGACCATCGATCTATGGCATTTACATCAGTCAAGTCAGGGATATTAATTTTCAACTGAGAAGCACGTCTCCTTAACCGGCTTTTCTTTTGGGCCACGTGCCGTTCCAGAGCATTACGGCCAAAGCTGTGTCTTGGTAAACCAGCCTTTCGATACTGGATACTGGAGGTATCATAGGCCAGCTTCTTGCTTCTAGGTTCCCCAAGCCCTATAACAGCTTCAGAGGCAGCCATCTCATTTTTAATTTCAAGCGTGCTCAACAAAATGTTCTCATGTGGATCCATCTGGAAAACAGAAGAAATTGTCTTAATGTGTGAAATCAGCTACCAAATTCCACCAATTACTAAATGACCGAATCTAAGTCATTAAACACTCAGTGTGATCAAAAGAGAAGCATACACAGCAGGGCTATGCGGTGCATCAGATTTGAAGTCCACTAATGCTTTAGCGCATTAAATGTTCAGTTTCTATCTCCTTAAAATAGCTACATCTTTTCTTGAGACAGCAGAATTGCCATGCAATTCCAGGGAAATATGTGCTCCATTCAAGAAGTTTTAGACAAGACAAAATATGTGTCTCGTAATTTCTAAACTCCCCTTTTGCTTTCAAACCTGAAGCATTGCATAGTCAGAATACAAACATAGGCTGATAAATTATTATTTTTTTATAGTTCAGGTAGATAGGTTATATGACACATTTCAGTACCTTTATCTGATCACTGAATCTCAGAAGTTTGTAGTTTTGCCATTTTGAGCTACTATTTGTTGGCCTAATCATTTAGTTCTGAACATCTTAACAGTATTTTTAATGAACTGAAGAATAATGTAGCATGAGATAGTGCAAGTGTTCACCTACTTTCCTCAAGACTTTTGTTATATTTCCTCTGCTGTTTGTATGCAGGGCTAACTCCACTGAAAATAATTTTGAAACATGCCATTGGGTGGGTGGGGGCTTACAGTGCTCACTTTAATATAAAGATAATTAATTTTTCATTGTCAGAGAAACTCTTTTATGTTCATACTGGTACTATCAAGTTTTATTACTGAGGATATCATTGAGAAGAAAATAAAATGAAAAAAAACAATCCTGGATTATTTTATTAATGCAATGACTAGGTATAGCGTTTAGTTGTAATTCAAAAGCCAAAATAACCAGGCATTCATTTTATAGTAAAATCATATTAAAAGTTAATATTATTTTTTTATATTTTTAATTAAGAGAAAAGCTAGTTTGACGTAATGGTTAAGGTATCAGGCTAGAAATTAGGAGATGATGAGTTCTGATCCTGCCTTAGGCACAAAGGCCAGCTGGGGTGACTTTCCCTCAGCTCTTGGAAAGAGGCAATGGCAAACCACTTCTAAAAAATCTTGCCAAGAAAACTGTAGGGATTTGTCCAGGCAATGTCCAAGAATCAGATATGAATAATATAAAAAAATGTGTGGCCAGGATTATATTTTTAATATATTTCAATATTTCTAATTTCATGTTTTTGCAAATGCTACTCTCAGCTATTCAGAAGTAAATATGGGTTATACCTTCATTGTCCGTGAGTTATTGATTAAAAATAGCACTAATTTTTATCGATGTTAGGAAAAAGTATACTCTTAATATATAATTATTTGATTTCCAGTGATCTAAGCATTAAATGTATTTTTTAAGTTAAGTTTGTATTAAACTTAATGTTAATACACTGCGTATCAGTTTAGAAAACTATGTTGTATTTGAAAACAAGAGAACTTTAGAAATATTTTATAATATTTGCAAGTCATCTTAACAGATATCAGTCTGACTCACATGATATGCAACGTTTTAGTGAGAATGGAACAGTTCAATCCATTTTTCTCAAAAAATTATTGAATGCATTTTCTCTTAATAGGCTTGCTTTTTTTAATATCCCAAGATGAAGAAAAAAAATGAAAATAGTCAAAATTTTTGAAAGACTGCCCCTTCTCCAATGGTCTTTACCAGTCAAATCAAGTCTGGCAGAAGACAAGTCCTGTCTTCTTATGGGACCCAGGAAACATGCCTTTTCTGTCACACAACTTGCCATTTGGAGATGTATACTCTCTGGGATAGCCCTACGACAACTCTCACTGCTGACCTTTCAGGAAGCCCTTAAAGTTGTTTTCCCAGGCCTTGGGGTCAGAAGATTTGGCAAACATGTGACATGCTGATTGATTGTTTTCCTTGTTTGTCATTTTAAGCTTCTAGGACTAATTTGTTATCTTGTTATTATTTAGTATTATTTTAACTTGTAAAAAACTACAAGCCCAGAGTTACATTTGTGAGATGGGCAGTCATATAAATCAGTTAAAACAAATAATCAGGCAATTGTGAACAAAATACTGCTACTCTAGTAATTGGCTCTAGGAGCCCCAGTGATCCAACCATGTTGAGTTGATCCACATATCTAAACAGTCACACATATCTCAATTAGATATGCATCACAATGGCAATGCTGTGTATCACCAGTGCTTTGTTTTTAAAAGGAAGTACATTGGGAAGACACATGGATGAAGGGATGTATGCTTGAAAAAAATATTCTGATCTATATTCTTGGCAACCTGAAAACTTGAGATCTGCAAGCAATTGGTTTGGTAATAAATGAGTATGTCAACCTGCCTACTGCCGTGGGAGACAGTGGCACAATTGCTTTATATCATGGTTTACAAAACACATAAATGTTGCATCAGTCTCTCAGAAATATTCAAACAAACAGTACTATGTATTGTGAATTTTACAGACAATGTTTCATGCATTTGCAGAAATGTGTACATTATTACTTTTGGATTAAATATGACATTGTCAATTATTAAATTGAATTTGATAATTTTAGTCAGAATGTCTAGGAGTGTTCCTTTATCATTTCATATGAAACAAACATATTGAGAACTGAGCATATCATGTCTGCATCCCCTGAGTAATGTATATGCATAAGCATAGCCAAGTCATTTTTCAAGACATTACCACTTCATCCTTGAAACCAAAAGTCAGCTAGCCACTCCCCAAACAGGTAAATGGGTAGGGATGATAATATTTGCACAGTACAAACAAATGTGCCCAGTATTTCCATGTATATTTCATGGAACTAAACACTGAAGAATTCACCATTTGCCAAATGGTAAATCATTTAAAGTTTAAGTCACTATATTGAAACAGTTTAAAAAGGAAAAGTTAACTCTGGGATACAGTTGTGAAACAAATAACATTTTCATTGATATCAGAAATCATAAAAGAGGAGCATTGGTTAATTCGGGGAAGAGTGGTTAGGTTGTATGGAGTGAATCATACAAGCAGGGTGGGCAAGCTTTCTGAAAGTTTATTTTTCATTTTTTTAATTTCCAGTCAATGTCCAAACCTTTAACCAATCTTCAGCCTTCTTTAGATCTCATATCTGAAAATTTTCATATGGTCAGTTCTGAAGATTTGTATGGCTGCTATAGAGATACAATTTCAGTTAACATACTATGACTAACAAGCTGGCATATGGCATTTTCTTCTAAATAATTTAGAAGAAAAATATATATTTTTAGAATATGTCATTTTGTATGATTCGTATTGTAATCAATTTGTAATCAAATTGATAAAATTGTAATCAATTTTCTGCAACCAGACATTATCAGATAACATTACCATTTAAGAAGGCTGGAGGCATCTACTACTCTTCTAAAAACACACTGGAAATCATTTACTAGCAGAAAATTAGTAATGGATGAACTGCCACAGGAAGTTAGAGATTTTGTATTTTTATTTATAAACATTGAACAGATATCAGTTTCCCAAAATAGGAAGTAAATTCAATAGATGAAAAGCAAATTGAATCCATTTTTGAAGTTGGTCTGTATTTTTGGTTAGGAAAGTAATGCTGAGTTTCAGAACAGAACAGGTTCACCCATTTCTAATGAAAATGTATGCTTGTAACAAAAGAAAAGCTTACAATACAACAGTGAAAAACATTTATTCTGCAGGCGCTTTTCATCCAGAAGGATCCCAAAGCGTTTTACAGACTTTAGAAAGCAACATCACTTCACCAAGTGCAGTCATCTAAGGCAAAAATGTGGGAGCTATCTAACATTGCCAAACAATATAGTGTAGTTCAATATAGGAAATGAATAATGCATTGTCAGTTAGAACTAGGTGGTGATTGGGTAAATGATGTGGAGATGATTCAAAAGAATGAACACCCTTTGCAATTCAACCAAAGTTGGACAAGATCTTGGCATGAAGATGCCAGGTCACAAATAATGTGCCATTGGATCTACAATGAGTTTAAACCCTCAGTTTTACATCCCTAAGGATAAAACCATTAAGAAAACAATAAAATATACCTTTGTTGAATACATTTCTGGACAATGATATGTGCCAATTATTCTTCTGTCCTGTAAGTTAATAAAATCAAAACCAGTTTCCTTAGAAAAAAAATCAGCTGTTAGTTTTCATTAAAAATTAATGCACTATAGGCTATTATTGTAAACTATGCACACTAATTAAAAGCACAGGGCAGTGTGAGCCAACAAGCAGCAGAAGTACTGTAGGTCCTTGTTTTAGAAATGCTGTTGTTGTCTTAGCCCTGACACTGTGGACAACATGTATTTGTAATGGAAGTAAATATAAGTGTATATATTTATATCCAAACTGGTAGGTGTTGAAACAAGCCCACCCCTCTCCCCTCAACATATGAATTGAAATGATGTGAAAATAACATTGAGAAGGCGCTTAAGGATTATACAGCAATAAGACATAGACTTTAGATGTAGTATAGGATAATTCCATAGGAAGAAAGCTGAAAAGATAAAAATGGATGGAACAAAAACAAAAATGATGAAAATATACAATGAATACTGTATTAATACTCCTATTAGTAGTTATGGAAGCATCTTATAATCACCTTAAATTATTACATAGAAAATATAACTGGTGGAATTTACAGATAGACCAAAAATCAATTATACAGTACCCTGAGGTACTGGTGATTTTTTTTTCTTTATATACTTACTTGGAAAGGCAATTCCAATCAGTTCCTAGAAACTCCAAAATGATGGCTATCTAAAGGAGTTGCATGTAACATTTTAATATATCAATGAGATGAGATGTAATATCCAAAACTATACTCATTTATAACAAAGGGAAGTAATTATTTTTCTCTGAGAGTAATTTTACATAGACTATTATTTTTTGCCTGGCTGAAATTTCTGCACTGTTCACTTTCTTCTTTAATATCAAATATGCTAGCATAACACATAACTAGCAAGCTGAGACATGTGAGTTGTACCATTTTGTTGCT